CTCGGTACAGTCTCCCATGAGCCTCCTTGCTCGGTACAGTCTCCCATGAGCCTCCTTGCTCGGTACAGTCTCCCATGAGCCTCCTTGCTCGGTACAGTCTCCCATGAGCCTCCTTGCTATCGTTGAAATGGCGGCCTATCCTTTTGTCTCCCCACAGCGGTGTCTAATCTGGATGAGGAGAGCAAGTGGGCAGTCCACTATGCGGCTCCTTGGCACCAGCAAGAAAACGTCTTCCTGCCCACGGATCGGCCTGCCTGCGTGGAAGACTTGCACCGGCAGGCTAAGGTCAACCTCAAGAACGTGCTACGAGGTGAGTCGGGAGTTGGGAAAGGGCGGTGCATTCTTCCGGGTTTTGGGGAAGGTTTTTGGACCTGCTCCGTGTGGTCAAATACATGTCCAAGAACATGCGGAACTGTTAATTTGACCACACTGTGTACACTATACCATCCAGGGTGTTCATATGCCTTGCTTCCAGGGATAAACTCCAAGGTCACTATAACCTTGTACTGGATAAGCAGTATGGAAGATGCATGGATGGTTGGACACATATACCCCAGCCCTGTTAAATGTCCTGCATTAATACTGTAGACATGTCTAAAGTGGCCTTACCTCCTCCCACGCTGTTACGCACACACCTGAGTTCAGAAAGTCCCCTATTCCCATGATACAGCTCACCAATTTCCATGAATCCACAAATACATCAACTAGGGACCCACATGGCTTACAGTGTCTTGGGTCTGACGTAGGGCTGCACTGCTGTCAAGGGCGTGGGGTCATGGAGAGGACAGGTGATAGTCATGGGGAAGCAGATGAGTTCAAACAGTCAGCGGTATCTTATCAGCAAACGGACCTTTTAATAGTGCTAAGTAGGCCCAGCTGGGGGCCGAGAAGAAAGGAACAGCAAGCTGATATCTGTCCCCACCCCAACCCCCTTGGGTACCTGTAGAAAATGGCCTGTTGTCCTTTGTTAAACTCAAGAGTAGCTGCTATTTATGCCAGGAACCCCAACGTGCTCTAAGAACAGGTTTGTCTTGGCTCAAACCATAATATAACCAGTGAATCAGTTCTGATTTTTGTCCTTTACAAGGTTGGCCGTCTTCTTTACTCCAGCATGTGGGGAAAGGGGTAGATCCTTTCGATTTGGTAGCCATGGAGCCGGGGGTGCCCCATACCATCCGGTGGGGTTGACTGTGCGCCATGAGGCTGGCCAACCTTGCACGCCAGGGGTCCTCTTCGGCTCCCGGTCCCAGGTGTCCATGGCAGCTGATGTCACCAGGTGGCAGGCGGGATTTTTTGGAGAGTCTTCTCCAGTAACATGATGTCAGAGACTGTCGAGAGGTTCTGCATTTCGTTGTTCAGCAGCATTTCGCAAACGAGAGAATCCATTTGGCCAGTATTCCATACTTGAATTTAGCGTCTTGCTGCTATCTTGTGTCATTCGTTGAGATATTAACTGTCCATCATTTACCATCTCCTGTTTGTGGACCCATCCTGGCCAAGGAATCAGAACCAACTTATTATTAGGATTTCATATGTAAACAGTATGTAATATGTAACAGTAAACAGTAGCATTAGATATCCAAACAAACAATTAAGCCGCCATGGAAACAAAAGCTAACCAGCTGTTGCTAAGTAACAATGCTGATGGAGAGTACAGCAGAGATAAGCAGCCTTTTTTGGTGCCCTTATCAAAGCCTGGAGCCATTGACAGGTCCAAAGCCTTCATTGCTTATGTGTTAGGGACAAGACCACAACACAGCAAATATGGCAACTCTCTTGCTGTGGCTCAGCAAGATCGACAGATATGCAACAAAAGTGGCCTTTCTGAATGTGCTTTTAAGGGTGCATAACTTTCAGGTTGCATGCCTTGATGTGTGATGGCCTATTAAAGGGAAGGTGTGCTGGGCCGGCCTGCATTTCTCTCCACACTTCAGTCGGCTTCTTCCTCGGATCTGCCTTAGCCTGCATTGCTAAGAAGCCTTGATGTCATCCATCAGGGCCACTTAGTGATATTGGAGCGGTTCTGAAAAGCTCCCCATGTAATCAGCTGCGTGGGGCTGGGGGGGGGTGGCCCCCTGGAGACCCTGCCTCTAGGTCGGAGGTCTTCACCAGACTGCTAGAAAATTAGGTCCCATCTGCACTTTGCCATTCGCTGCACAGCAGGGAAGTGTAAGGAAAGCCTTTCTTATCATCTGTCACATGGGTGTTATTTCTTCCATTGGGGGAGGGGGGGGGTGTTGACATGTTTTTATCAGTCTGTGTTCTGCTTTTTCTGGAGGAGTAGAACATATGGGTGCTTGCATACCTGCAGGTGACGACTGACACCTGTCTCCCGCTTGGCTGCATGCATACACTCTCCTCCCTGCCCTCTCAGTCATCACTTTACAGAGAGTACCAGTGCTGCACCACTAATGCCCTTCTGCCCCACCCAGAGCACATGTCATGCCCTCCTACCCAATATGCCGTCTGACGGCCGCTCACTGTGGCCTCAGAGGCAGCCCTCTTCATGTGCTGGACCCTTCCCAATCACCCAGCCGAGTCCTGTTTACCTGCTTCACGTTTTAAGGGCTAAAAATCTCAAAGCTTCCCAAACATGGGAATACCCTCCCCCCCCATCCTCCTTCAGTCGCTCAGCTTTCCACTGAAGTGTCTGCGTTTTAGCAGCGGAACTTGGGGAAAAAGCCTTTCGTTTAATTGGGCTTTGAGAAAATAATCTGGGCATTTTCATACTGTTAATCCATCCAGCATCCAAATGCGTATCCCACCCCCCACCCAGGAAGCACGGGGTGCCAGGCAGGGGAACGCCTGCCGATCCATCACAGGACACGCACACACTCCACGAGCGATAAAGTCTGATTCACCAGCTGTGTGTTTCTGTGGAGAATCCCGGAGGTATCAAGTACTAATCCACACAAAACAGGAAGAACCTGCCAGGTCTACACAGAGCTGGAGGCTGGGATTCGAACCAAAATCCTGCGATTAGAATAGATTAGAATAGAATACAATACAATAGAATAGAAAATTTTTTATTGTCATTGTACATATACTGTACAATTAAACCCTGGGTGTTTGTCCCACCAATGCTAAATATTATAGCAAATAAATAAAAAATACATGTATGAAATTGATAACATACACAGCATAGATATACAGTTTAAAGTATAGTGAACTAAAGTGCATAAATGCAAACACACTTTTTTTTTAACAGCATTAAATGTAACATTGTAGATTTTTTAAAAATTGCAGCATTCATGTGGTTAAAAAATTAGCGGCCCTGTGAACAGTCAGTTGTTTGGAGGGGCAGTTTGGCAGATGGGTGCATGCAAAATGCTCGGCGGGGTGCAGTGGGGTGACCTTTCTTGAGTTAGTTGTTTCTTTCTGGTTAAGATGATTGATGGCTTAGGGGCAGACACTATTCCTCAGCTGTAATGAAATTTGTATTTTGAGTGCGAGACCTTTCACAGGTATCTCGTGTTATTTGTCCTTCAAAACAGAGGACAGAAATATAGGCCTTGCTGTAAACAATATTCATAAAGACTGCTATAACAATCTGACAGCATTTCTAACAGTGGCCCTTCGACTGAGACGGGCATTTCGTCACTCTGCAGGAATGGAGGAGGAATCCACATGTCTGATTGTAAGGTCTTAAACCCTTGGCTGCAGGTGTGGAGAAACAGGCCAAAGACAGGGGTCTCCTGGGAAATTTGTCAGATGTGATGTCTAAAGGGTGAGGTGTGTACAAGGGTCTCAAACCCCTGGGAGGCTTCACAGCCTTTGGCAGCCTTTGCTAAAAGGGACTCCAGGTGCAGTGAGTTCCAGAATGTTGATGTTGTGTTTGTTTTAGAGGATGGTGAAGGTTATTGGATTGGTGGATGGCCACTATGTAACGTATCATCTACAGGTAAATAATCTCCAGAGGAAGAGATTTCAGGTCCGGAGAATACAAATCCAGACCAAGATTTTGTTTCAACCGACAAGTTGAGTATAAAGAGTCACAGTCACAGAGTATTCAGCTGGTTGGTTGAAACAAAATCTTGGTCTGGATTTGTACTTTCTGGACCAGAAATCTGCACCTCTGATAATCTCCTCGGCAAAGATTTCCAACAGGAGGCAAAAGGACGTTCATGCATTTGGCTAAAATGGGTCAGATGTGAAGCGTGTCAGACACCCAGTGTTGACCTTACCATTCCTGTGTGCCCTGCTGTCTCCCAGACTGTGACAAACTGAGGAAGGATGGCTTCCGCAGCTCGCAGTATTACTCCCAGGGCCCCACGTTCTCCGGCTCCAACATGTCGGACGACAGCCCACAGGAGGACGAGGACATGGACAAGAAGGTAAGCCTCGATGTCAAACTGACCCGCTCGGTGCTGTTAGCCCAGATGCAGCCGATTCAAACAGCAAGGGGTTAAATTAAAGACAATTAGGGGACCAGATGGAGGGAAACCAGATTGACTGTGGATCAGGGTTAGCACCCCTAGGGTAATTTGCTCATTTTGGAGGTCTTCTTAAGAGGACAAGGGCAAACTGCTTTATCTCCATAAATTGGAAATGTATTCCTCTGTTATAACAAAAAAAAATGCACAAGCTAAGTAAACAAGTGGTAGATTATAGTATAAAGCTTGATACTGTTCTTCACTGACAATTATGCCTGTTAGCCCTTGCAGACGTTGCATATAAATTTTATTCAAATGTGACTCTTGAGTCGTGTAAAGTAAATATTTTACTGCCTGTATCACAAGACAAGTATTTATAGTCTCAATCAATTTAGTGATACGGGATTTGTGAATTTCGAAGAGGCTCCGCATATCCGAGAGGTAGTCGATTGTTGAGACAATCCTGACCTCTAGTGGCAGAGAGTGGAATCGCTTTGCGCTTTTTCCCGATGCGGTTCTCCTAGTTATACACCACCGCTAACTCTTGGCGCTGCGTCTGAGACTGTGGAGTCCAGGGCCGTCGTGACATGCTTCCATTTGTTACTCTTCCTGCGTCCCTGCCTGTCTCTCTTTGCCGAGCAGCCTGGTCTCCTAGTCCCCCTGCCTTGGTTCTGTCTTATATTGCGTTGTGATTCGAAACGGCGGGAATCGAAGGTACTCCCGCTACTGAGGCATGTCCTAGCCCTCGAGAACTAAGCGAGGTAGCAGCTTCGGGTTAGCATACTCATCTCCAACGGCAGCCACGTCGGCCCCATGCACTCCTCCAGGGACTCCTTCTGAGCCCTCTGAGTGTGGGGGACCGTTGTATGATTTCCTGCTCTGTGCCAGCAGGCAGTAGCAGCAGATGGTGCTGACGTGAGAAGGTCTGGAAAGTAATAAACAAACAAACACATTTAAAAAAATGAACAAATAAATAAACAGGCAAGCAAATAAAAACATGAATGAATGAATAAGCAAAAGAACAAATAAATAAGAAGCTGGTGGAAAGAGTGTGGAAAAAACCTTGCGATGGAAACTGAGGGACTTGCATCGTGAGCTCAGGTGGAGCTCCCGCGAGCATCCAGGGTGAAGCTCTGGATCATCTCCGTGTCTTTGTGGTGGGACACACTAAGTCACGGAGCCTTCAGGGAAGGGCGGATGCTCTTAATTTCCTTTAACCGCCCTTAAACCACCCTTAACCGTTTCTCTGTGACTGAGGTCCTTATAAAAAATAAGCATATGGGTCTTGCAATTATAAGTCTGACCCTTTAACATACCGTCTAAAAGTACAGCGTCTTAAATAGTCCGACTTCATCTTTGTTATGCATAACTGTTATAAGCAAAATAGCTACTCATCTAGTAAGTTTATGTACTAGAAATTCTTATCATTTGTGTATATACTTCCCATATCTCTTTGTAGAAATACCATGCTATTGTACAATGATATGACAGTTTTCCCAATGGATAAATTTGCTTCTTCCCTTTCCTGAAGTGAATCTGATAAAAATGTAATTCTACTAAATACATATTGGTTTATTCTTATATAATGTAATTCCTAAAATAGTGTGTAATTTACCCCAAAATGCTTAACAAAGATGATGCGTCAAATTAAATATAATTATATGTTGTCTGATGGTTATGTATATCTGTACCAGTGGGTACAGACAGTCTTCGCATAAGTAGCACAGAGATATAACTATCCTTGTATCTCTGTGTCACTGAGACACACTATGGCTCCCACCCTGTTTCCCACCAAACACCACTCAGGGACCTGGTTTGGTGACCAAAGCCAAACGCTGTGTTCAAACTGGCCTTTTATATTCCTAACTGGGCCTAACTGGGCCTAACTGGGCCTTTAATGGTGGAAGGACACAGCCAACATTCCAGGGATCTTAGGCCTACCCCACCCGCTCTTCCTGTTCCATGTTTTCTCCTCCTTGTGTCAGTTAACGGTGAGCCCCCCCCCCCATCCCCCGTCACGCCCACACAAAATTCAGGAAAGACCTGGCTTGTTGTTGGACAACCTGTTCTCCATCTAATGTAGTGGAAAGGCAAGTTTGCTTAACTTAAGCTGCAGGTAAACACTTAGCCAATTAGCTCTTTGTTTTTATTTATAATATAATGCTTTTTCACAGTGGGGCCGGGGTTTTACTCTGCCTTAGGTATAATATAAATATACAGAGCAGGAAAGTATAAATATATAGCTATGCATGATAACACTTTCTATGAATGCCATGTATATAAAAATCTATGAAGACATTCATAACACATTATAATGTATTCATAAAGCATTATATACATGGCTATAAATATTTATAAAAAAGCATAACACTTTATAGCCATGGATATTATGCATTATGAATGCTTTATGAAGCTTTCATCTATAATGCAGTATAGATACCATTATAATGCAGCATAAAGCATCCTTGATACCGACCATTATAATGCATTATGAACACACACACACAGATATACTGTATATATAGTGCATTATAGATGAGAGATTCATTGGAGTTTATGTAGTACTATAATCAACACTATAATGCCTTACGACTGTCCATAGAAGATGTTGTAATGCTTAATTAATTCTTATACCGACAATTATAATGCATTGTAGATGACAGCTTTATGTAAAGTGTTACTCTTAATTGGTTTTCCATTATTTCTTACGGGGAAAATTCGATCAGAACTCAAACTTTTTATGATTCGAACCCGAGTTCTGAACGGATTAAGTTCGAGTTATGAGGTACCACTGTATATATATATGCAGCAACCACAAAAATCAGCCTTTAGATGTAGGCAATATGCAGTTAGCTAACGTGTGTGTGTGTGTGTGTGTGTGTGTGTGGGGGGGTGTCTCTCCTTGTTGTTGTTGTCACCATATAAACATTTTTAAAAAGAAGTTTAATAGTAATGATACTTTTATTATTCATTCGTACAAACACAGGTACATATGATTTTTTTCACAGATCCATTCATGCTCAGAACTGCATGAATTGCATTTAACAAATGCAGGTAAAACCTATACATTTTCAGTTACTCTGGATATGGGTGTAGCTGTTCCATTGGTTCGGCCGTTGATGGATCGGTTTCGAGTAGCCTACGCCTGTTTCACCTCCTCCTCCTTCCCTGTGCCGTCTCTAGTCCGAGGCGTCATCAGAGGACGAGGAGGAGGAGCCGGTGTTGCCGGTGAGGCCCCGGACACCCCAGCCGGCAGACAGTAATGATGGAGCTGGTAGTGGCTGGAGCAAGACCATGCCCCTGCCCACCCCAGAGGAAAGAATGAGGCAGCAGGCGCAGGCGGTGCAGACTGACATCGTCCCCATTAACATCACCGGTAGGCTGCGGGATCCCTGCCATTTCTTCACCGCCACTTCTGGCCCCTTTCAATGTTTCCTGTGTCGGTTCTGAAGATACCCAGGTCATGACAAGATTATGATATGCTCACAAAAAAAGTCGCCTCAGTTCTCACTCGGGCGCTGGTTCAAATCCCAGGGTCGGCAGAGTGATTTCACCGTAGGGCTCTTGAGCAAGACCCTTAACCCTCTTTTGATCCAGGGCCTGGCTGACCTTGCTTTCTCAACTGTATGTCACTTTGGATAAAAGTATCTGCCAAATATGTAAATGAAGAAAACATGTCGATAAGTGTTCTGAAAGTATACCCCCATATTTTGCCATCAAACTGCAAAACAATAGCAAAGTGAATCTGCAATTGAATTATCCCCAATTGACCATAGTCCCAAACCTGCACAATCACTGATCTCTTGGTTGTATCAAATTGTACTAACCCGACTCACTGTATTGATATTAGGGTTGGGCCCCTATCAGGTCTGGCTCCAATCCTCACACTTGCAAAGCATCTCTCATTCTCCAGATGGCCCTACCCACTGGTCAGCCGTGCCATTTCTCTCCCCCTAAAACCCTCCATCACCCGTTGATCCTTCATTCCACTCAGTCCATGCTCGGGCCACGTCCGTGTGAGAGCTGGACCCTCCGATGTATCTGGAGAGGTCTATCATAGTAGGAAGGCTCTACCGCGTACGTGGCATTGGAGGATGCACTTTGATCTTGCACTAACCCCATCGCTGGCCAGCAGACAAACTTTGGAACCTTTAGCTGAAACTTAACGATCCATTTGTGAGCAGGTTATGAATGTTAACTTTCAATTTAATGACGTTCCAACTCTACATCAGTGTCCACCCGACCAGATGGACCATGTCATGTTCTCGCATGATCCCAGATTGTCTCCTGGCCAGCAGGATATGATTTAATGTGTATGCGTATGAATGCCTCTTATCTGGGTGCGTTTATTAATGTCTGTACGTGTCTGCATGGGAGATGCATGCCTTTTCAGTAACCAGCTGGTTTGCTCACTCTCGCCACCTCACACCAGGGGAGACTTTTGACCGGCAGGCCAGCATCCGCCGCTCCTTAGTTAACACTGACACGGTCGTCAGGCGGCCCAAGAAAGTCAAAAGGAGAAAGACAATAACAGGGGTTCCTGACAGCATCCAGAAGGAACTAGGTATGACTTATCAACTCTGGGTCCTGTTCCCTGTCATTCCCATCGATCAAATTTTATTCGGTGCTGGGCTCCCCTTAATGGAATCCCTCCTCCGTCATGTACAATCACCCTTGACCTTCTCTAGAGCCCCTGAGGAAAGATCATAATTCATGGTGAGGTTGAGCTAACCGCCGTGCTAACGTATCGATTTATCCATCTCACTACATTTGTGAAGTCCACACAGTGTTTTGATATCGCCAGAGGAACCATGTTGTTATAAACCATGATTTGAGTGCCCAGTTCTGAAGGTTGCCCTCTTGTGGCACCCTGTTGAAATGCCCCGATCTTTGCTGAAGGTTGGTCCACACTGTGTGGGTCTCAGGCCAGTGTAGAGGACTATACAGTCAAGAACTGGATAATGTGTCTGCCGTGTCCTCAGGTCATTCAGTCGCTAGATCATTAGAGTTTCAATATGGCCTTTAACTGCAGACTTGTTGCGATGTTTTACGTCTGTTTGTCCATGATACAACTGTAAAGTACAAACCTAAAAGAAACTGGTGTTAAGAGGATATAATCATTACCCTTGAAAATATGAGAGTTTACAAGCCTTCTAATGAACAATACCACCAATATCCCGAATTCAGTGGGGTAACACTAACACCAGTCATCTTTCTGTAGTATTTCTAATGTTCCCTCCTGTTAAACCGTAGTTCTAATGGTCTAATATTTGTGCAGTTATTCTCCCTAAATGTTTCTACACAATAATTCCCAAACACTACAGTAGTGCTTCCCTCATGCTAAAAGCACAGGATAACCCACAAGCCATCTCGACCTTTCCATCACTGCATATTATTGCGCCATGTGGGAGATTTTTGGTAATAATACTTTTGAATTTGAAGCACTAGATATTTGGGGAGGTGTCGGGGGACAGAACACGGACACCCCCACACAGGCTCTCAAACCAGCAGGGGTCTTCCAAGCCATATGCATTTTTCATTACAGTTAATGACACAAAAGTGACCTGTCAGTGCCCCCCTCCCCTGTGAGCCTTGGGGGTAGGTGGTAGCTTGGGGGAGGGGTAGCTAGATGGGGAAGTATAGGGGTGGGTTTTTTATTTCTGTCAGCAGTCATTATGTCAGTATTGCCCACCCTGACCTTTGACAGCTGGTCAGTCAACAAAAAAAGCTGTAGGAATCGCAAGGGCTCAACACGTTCATGTTTTAGATTTTAATGTAATTCATGTAAAGAAGGGTACTTTTTTTTTTACTTTGTGCAATGAAGTAACAGAAAACAGCAATTATTGCAACGAGCAATTATTGATGGTTTATCCTCAACCTTTATAGCTAAATAAACATATATTTCTTAAAAGCATACGGCTCATTAAAAGCAAAGTGTACTTCTTGCGGGCCATATAGAAAAGCCAGGTTTCTCCTATGAATGTTTAAGGGATTTTTATTGCTTGAAAAAAGCTTTCAGTGAAAGCAAGGCCCCTTCTTCATAGTTATCACTGTGATATGCCCGGACGGTGAAAGAGTTTCCGGAACATGCCGTGTGGTGATTTCCCTCAGCCTTGTTTTAATTAAGCCTCAGAAAGGGAAGTGAGCGCTTCAGAAGGGCAGCTGCAGATCAAATTAATTAGCCTCCCGATAGATAGGCTTAATTTGCTTGACAGCCTAGTGTCAGAAGTAAAGTGAACGAATCTGAAATTTCCCACATTTGATCTTATCCACTCTGCAGCAGTGACAGGGCCCGGCGACCTCCGCCCTCATTCCATGTACATACCTGGTCAGTACTCTACCCTGGGCCGAGTCGGCAGCATGAACTCAGGGCTACGCCAGTCTAACACCCGTGACTCCAGCTGCCAGACGGAGGAAGTGAAAGTTGTTCCCCCTTCCATGCGGAGGATCCGGGCACAGAGGGGCCAAGGCATCGCAGCTCAGATGGCAGCCTCCTCGGGGACCATCTCCATAGCTAGCGACAGCACCAGCACCATCTTTGCACCACAGCATAACGGAGGTAGTCAACGTTTCCATAGCTTGCCCCGCCAGGGAGCCCGTATCTCCTTGAACTTTGAGCCCGGGTACAGCAGTGCCCCCTACAGGTCAGAGGACTGCTCAGCGGGAGCGCTACCTAAACGGATTGGTACATTACAGGCCGACGATACCACGGTGCAGCTGCGGAATTCCCCCAAGGCTATAGTGCGACCCAAGTCCGAGGAAGTGAGGAGCACATTGAGTGAGCAGGCCATGGCGGGCCCCGCCTGCATGGTCTCTCCCCATGCTGCATACTCCACCTTGCTCATCCCCAATGCTACACTGTCATGCTCATCTGAGGTCATCACTATCCACACGGCAAACAGCTGTAGCAGGCCGGGCACCCCTCAGATGCGATCTGTCTCCTCCTACCCAAAAGATCGTCCCCTCAGTACCGCTGTGGTGAACGGCGGGTCATCCCAAGCTCAGTCGGCCACCTCCTCCCGCCGTGACTCAGCCGTGTCCCTCAGCACCAGCACTGAAGTCGATTCCCAATGCAGTACCCTGAACGGGACAAAAGGAAGGAAGAGCCAAGATACCACAAGCGAGTCCAGCTACTCAGACGGAAGCTTGCAGAGTCAAGGCAGAGTCGCTGCCGACCGGTGGGTCAACGACACCCCAGAGAACATTGTACCGAAGAGGCCCCTAACCTCCAGCTGCTCTACCCCGACAAATCATATTTACAGCAGCCCCGAGAGATCCTCAAACAAGACGGATGCCAGTTCTCTACACTCCATGGACAATGATGGATACTACACTTCCATGCACACAGATTCCGGGATCAGGACCCGGAGCCATAACAACATGCGTGGTAAAATGAGGCACAGTATGTATGAATGCCGTATGTATGACATCCAGGATGACCCTTCCGGCTTCTACAGTGACAGATCCTTATCCCGGAGCATCTCCCTTCGCAAGTCAAAGAAGCCCCCGCTGCCACCGGCTCGGACAGACTCCTTACGACGCAAGCCAGGGAAGAAGACCAGCGCTAATGGATCGGTCCTTAACGAGACTCTAATTGCCACCCTGCAGCAGACTCTGCAAATGGGCGTAAAGGGCAAAGTGAGTTCATCATCCTCTCAGAGCCCCTGCAGCGACTATGATGATCCATGGGTGCCGCGTCCGCGGAGCCAGAGCAGCATAAGTGCTGGGAGCAGCGGCTTGTCGGCCTCCATGGCAAACGTCTACTATATCTGTCCAGTTACACCATCGCAAAGCGACACGAGTAGCCTGCGCTCAGATTACACCGAGACCTGGGGTTACTATCCCGACTACCCTCGGCAACATGGGGAGCAGCCGCATTCCCCAACTAGCTCCAGCGGTGCCGCTGCGGAGTTCTCCAATGGAAGTTGTCTGCCCAGCATGTCGCAAGCATCGCTGCCGGAATGCCAGGACAGTGCAGCGGTGGTCAAGCCTAAAACTTCCTCCCCGGACAGAGTGCATAGACTCACTTCCCCCTCCAGCGGCTACTCCAGCCAGTCCAACACACCCACGGCAGGCACCCCTGTACCCTCTGGCATGAGGTCAATGTCTCCAGCAGGAGCAAAGTCCAAGCCCAAAGTACCTGAAAGAAAGTCTTCTCTGCTGTCTTCTACATCTGTGTCATCCTCCTCCACGTCCTTGTCCTCCAACACCTCAGATTCAGCAAAAAACCCCCTACCTCCTCCACCTCCACCCCTGCCTGGCCTCCATACTTCCCCATCAATGTCACCAACCTTCACACTTCATGATTCTAGAGAACCACTATTCACTCCACCTCCTCCACCCCCTCTCCCCCCCTCCATCCCTGCATATATGGGTGGGAAAATGATCCCTCCTCTACACAGAACTCCTGAGACATCTCCAGACATGTCCTCCTGTAGCTCTTCTTCAGACTTTCCTCCCCCTCCTCCAGAACTTTTGTTTGATTCTGGCTTGCCAGTCAGCAGTGACTTCTCTCCACCTCTTCCCCCTCCACCTCCTCCTCTGCCACATATCATTCCCAAGACACCTCTACGACCTCCAATGTATGCTATGATCACACCAGCAGCTCCACCTTTCGGCATTAAAGGTCAGAAAGAAGCTCTCAGACTTGTGAATGCTGATTTCAAGGACAACATAGCCAAAGAGTCAAAATTACCTCCAATGCCCCTGATCACTGCCCAAGCCCTTCAGATGGTGCAACTTAGGTCTGTCAAGAAACTTGAACACGAGGGAGCCGTTACTACCAAAGCCCAGGACATAGGGCATGCCCTACAGTCCATCAAACCTAAAACACCAGAAAAGCCTCAAAAACTAGAACCTCCTAATGTTTTGTCATTGGCGGTGTGCTCCTCTCGTGCTGCAAATGAAACTGAGATGCAGCTGTCACCTACCAAGAAATTTGGCCAGGAGGCTGGCGATCTGGAAGACACACTGAGTGAAACCTTGGCGGACTACTGCAGTGACTCTGTGTCCCCAGAAGAGTCCCTGCATCAGTTGTCCCCTACTGTTCCAGCAGTAGCATCACTAAATTTTACACCCAAGAAGAAACCTCCAGCTGTCTCTAAGAAGCCAAAACTCATACTAAAGGTGCCTCAATCTCCCCCTCAGCCTGTTTCAGAAGAGAGGCAACCTGAAGTTGTGGATGGAGACATGGTTGCGGTGTTGAGTCCCCAGAGTGGGTTGTCGGTCTCAGGGATGGCGGAAGCCCCTGGTGCGACCCAGCAGCAGCACATGGAGGATCAGATGGGGGATCACTCTGGAAGCTCCACCACACCCATGACGCAGAGCAGAGAGTCTTTGAGCAGCGAGGCCTCCACAGAAAGCCTACAAGAAGCCAAGACCTCCACAGTGGTAAGGCAGAAGCTCTCCTTCTTGGGTGAAAAGAGCATTTCCGATAGACACAGAGACAGACAGCAAGATTCCAGTAACACCATGGACTCCATCAGCTCAAAGGAAGAAGAAAATGGTAAGCAAAATACTAATATTATTATTTTTATTAAGTCTACAATATAGCTTGAGCATATTTCAGCAGACACTAGATACACATGATTTTCCAGTATAAACTATGGACTCCACACCTGCCATATTTCGTGTGCTGCCTGTGTTTCTGGACAGGGTTCACCATAAACAGAGCAGCTGTGTGTTCACCTACCATGGCCACCCCCTCGGGTGGATTCTGTCTCCGTGGGGGTCAGCAGGATTGCAGAGGTCATAAATAGCCCTAATTTATAGCTCTATCCTTTGCTGACCTGCTTGGAGACTCCGTCGCTATTCTGGGGTTGGGCTCAGGCCCAAAGGTCAACAGCCCGCCCCCCCCCCCAGACAGGGGATCACGGTAGCATCACACTGCGGCAACAACTGGAACATTTTCTCTATCTCACTCTCCTTGTAGGTCCCTCTCTCTCTCTCTCTCTCTCTCTCTCTTTCTCCCTCTCTCTCGCTCTCTCCCCTCTCTTTCTCTCTCTCTCACTCATATACGCACACACTGACTTAGATAGGGAAGGACAGCGTTCCGAGGAGCAGGCTGGTGAACGGCTAGAGAAGCGGGGGAGGGGGAGTGGCAGCAGGCTAGCATGACATCCATCCGCAGCGGCTCAGAGAGCCTAAGTGCAGATGTTGCAAGGAGGCAGCAGGACCAGGGGAGGGGGAATTGAAAGGCAGGGATATAACGTCCCAAACCCCACCTTGCTCTCATGTCGACATCTGTCAGTCTCGACTTCAGGGCTGGCAGTGTTACCGGAACAGCGTGCCAGGTCGCTCTCCGGTCTGCCGGTAACATGTGCTCCCTTACGCTTCCCAGGCGACATTTTTGAGGATTCCGTCGTGTCCTGCTCCTCACCAGTTGCCGACGCAGATGTCTTCGAGGACATGGTGACGCCCACGCGACCCAGGACGACCGAGGACCTTTTCGCCGCCATTCACAGGTACGCGTACGTCCCTGCGCTGCTCCCAACCTCCAACTCGCCCCTTTGTGTTTGTGTCCCGTCCGTTCAAACAAGTTCTCAGCTTGTGGACCTGAAGTACAAGTTAAGAAGACTTCACTGCATGTATGGCCCATCGCAGAGGCGTACACTTCACAGCAGCACCCTAGGCTTGCGCGTTTGAGTCCTTCATGTGGAGTGAGCATCCTTTGGTCGGTACCCTAATCCTGGAAGCAGAGCTGCTACAGGACAAACTTTATCTATGTTTTTCAGTCTCTGCCATTTTTTAAATATGTCCATCACTGCCTCTGAGTGCTTTTCTGTGTAGCCGCTGTTTGGAAGCTTGAGTGTCTGTCCCCTGTCCCTGAGTTTCCTCACACCTGTCCCCCTCCCCCCTTTCCTCTTCCTCTTTTCCTACGCAGTCTGGAAAGGCTGAAGGTGTGGCACAGACTGGCAAGTAAGCCAATAGTTAGCTGCCCGTCATCTGTAGTGACATCTTGACAAATCAAGTAGATACCCTGCTTATGAAGACCCAATCACAAGAATGTTATTTCATCTGTAATGGTGCTACAGGGGATCTTTGACCTTGTAAACAAGGGCGAACTAAATATTCTGCTGTGGAGGAGACCCTTTTTGTGATGCAGCATGTATTAGCAGGATGGTGCAATGTCCCACTAGTGCCCCCGAGTGGAAGGGCCTGTAGTAGCATTTAAAGTTACTATTTATCATCATGTTAAACCTGCTTCAAACCTTACTGAGCAGTGCATTATGGGACGCCAGTTGAGTGAAGTAGCAAGGGGAGTTTATGGCTTTCTCTGTGGAACCTAATTCCGTTATTCAGTGCTCATATTCCAAACTGTGATTTTTTCTGCCGGTAATTCAGTTCTCCATAGAATGATATAAAATATACATTTCTGCTCAGGGGGAACCGGTATGAATTATGTAAAAGACAATTTCATTTTTTTTCTGAAACACTTGCAGCCATTTTTGGGCAATTGAGGGCCTTTGCGATACTGCAGATGCTAACGACAAATATGAGATTACATGATTGGGTGGTGGAAAATGGTCCTGTTCGTTCAGCGTCCAAATTCGAAAAAGTGTGGGCCTCCGTCTTCCTTCCTCCATCCGGATTATGCCCTTTAACAGACAGTCTCTGCCCCGATCAGGTCCAAACGGAAGGTGTTGGGCCGGAGAGAGTCTGAGGAGGAGCGGTCGCGGGGCCACTCGCCGTCGCCCCCAGTAACGCCTACCAGCAGCTCCCCCGCGTCGGCCTCACTTCCACGCCATGCGAGTTCCATCCAGCGCAACCTCCGTAAGTCGGCCACCAGCAGCGACAACTTCAAGGCCCTGCTACTGAAGAAGGGCAGCCGCTCTGAGACCGGCTTCCGCATCTCTGCCACCGAAATGCTCAAGAACACAGACCCGCGCTTCCACCGGACGCGCTCCGAGTCCTCCCTGGAGTTGTCATCGCCGGACAGCCCCGGCGGGTCCCCTAGCCGCGGAAAGCAGGTGGCGGAGGAGTGGGCTCGTAGTGAAGGCTTCTCACCACGCTTTCCTGGCATTGGCTACTCCTCCTTGGTGGGGTCCCGGTATGGGCGGTCCCGCACACCACCCTCAGCGGCCAGCAGCAAGTACAATGCTCGCAGCCGCATCCCGAGCAGCCCCATGACTGTCATCTGCGAGGGGGACGGTGAGCTGATGGAGGCCGGCATCGACTGTGAGGAAGTAGGGAGCCCCCTGCAGGACTCTAATGGCACTTCACACAATGGCAATGGCAATTAAAAAGGGTTCTCTTGACTCACTCATAGCCACGGAGAGACAGTTTTGGACTAGAAGCTACACCCCTGGACCGCCGGTCCCGGATTTGAAGTGGACACCGGTTTTACAACAGTTTTTACTACTAACATCCTGTCATTTTAACATCTGTTTCCAAAAGCAGTGGCAAGATTTCCAGAGCCAAGGTGAGCGTTGAGCGTTCTGTTTTAGTTGGGTTAGGGTTGATTTCTTCTTCTGAAAGACAGAGTAGGTGTCAGAGGGATGGACCATAAACTAATGCTGAAAGGAAGTCATTGGAGAAGGTGGATCCTATATAGTAACTATTATTTAACAGAAAAGCATTGTTTAATAGTTTTGGGAAAGTGAAATAAAAACCTTTCATTTTAGCCCTGTAGATGCCTTCCTTTGCCTTTGGGTGAGTGGTGAAGGACATATGGCAGATGGGCCAATAGCTCAAAATATGTGATTTCTAATTTCCTCTTTACATAAAAAGGCCGAACGAGAAAGAAGGTAGAGCTAAGATGGATTTTCTGCAAGTTTGGGAGACCTTTATAGTGTGATATAAGTTAGTAGATTTGCACTCTTGGTTGTGTTTTTGGTAGTGTTGTGTAAAAAAAATGTTAGGATAATTTACTAAGTGGAGATGAAGAATTGTACGTGAAACTTACTTGAAAAATCACAAAGTCCTGTTTTACTTGTGAATGTTTAGTTACCAAAGAACTAATCAAATTTAGCCTGGATTATTATAAGGATGTGAGACAAGTCTGATGGATTGTTCTAGACTGGATGTGGCCAATCTTGTAATGGAAACAGAATCTTACCTAGACTCACCATTAATTTAACTTTAACTTTCTATAATAGGTTTCTTTCCTGTGAAGTTTTGTACTTTTTTTGTAAATACATAGACTGTAAAAGTAACATTTTGACTTATTTTTCACAGAATTTGTACATTTTTAGTACTTTGTTATGAAAACGCAGGGAGTGTATCCTTTTGTAGACTATTTATTTTAGCATAGTGAGAAAATGGGTGTAATTAACCCCCTCCCTGTGTGATGAGGAAGTGGGGGGCCTACAGGCCTGAATGCTGTTTTGGATCTGAACGACGAGGCCTTACAAAGTTAGCGGGGGGTGAAATCGGTGCCACATTGTAAAATGTTCCTCTTGTTTTTAGCAGTAGCAATAGCCTTTTCAATGTCTGCTGCTGGCAACGATGAACACAGGAGAATCTATGACCGTCAACGCAAATATGTCCAATACACTGAATTTTATTTTGTCTTAAGTATGTGTTTAACAAATAAAATAATTTGTTAATTGAGTTTTTCCCCTCATTTCTATTAATGTCTCTGCATCATTTATATTTACAAAGTATCAGAGTTTTCATAAATTTTGACTATTCAGTTTGGTATGTTAAATAGTTAAGTTAGTGAGACTTCACTGAACAGGGTGCAGTTCTAATAAAAACACAGACGTGGATGATAGACTTCCCAGTCTTCTGCCTTTTGTCACAGCAGTTAAGGTCTCAGTCTCCCCCACCCCCACCTGTCACTTTAAATACTCCTGTGGGACTGGCAGTCCCCAGGCCCCCTCAGGGCAACAGTTCACCACCTGCCCCAGGTCCTGTTAAATCAAGCCTCTAACAGCATTTTCAATACAATTCCTCTAAAATTAGATGCTAGACAAGAAATTTCAAAAGGATTCAAGAGAGACTTAAACTAGCAGGTCCGTAATATTCCCTATAAACTGTTTAAAATTACAGTAATAGTGATAGTAAGAGTGATATTTTATTCCTCCCTGTTGGAATGTTGGATAGTTTTCGCATGGCCATCTTGCTCTCCACGAGACACAAACACATACATACACGTCCTGCTTAAATTAGATTTAGATTTTTCAATCTATGAACAATATTTCAGTTTTGAAATGACCAATTTCCAGCCTGATAGATGTGAGAAGTGAGAAATACCAATGCTCAATCACTCACTGCAGCAGTAATAGCAGTATTACAAAAAGTAATAAAAAATAATAAGAATAATAAGTTTATAAAAATAATAATAATAAGTTTCACCGCTAATTGAACCAGCGTTCTGTTATCTGGTAACAATTTTTCACCAAAGGTTGGCAGGTAGAGCACACGGCACACCGGGCATTGGGAATCAGCCAACGAACCAGCACCACCTAGAGGGCTGTCGGACACCTGCAGTCTCAGGACTCCCGGAAGCCAGATCCTCAGAGCACGGAGTCATGAGACTTAAAGAATTCATATATACTAGTGACCTTGGAAGGATTTTTGGTCACTGTCTTATACAGAGAATACATTTGGGTAAAATACCTGGTAAAAAGGTGATAATCAGCTGTTTCCGGTATTATGACATAATAAAATGCTGAGTATTTTCATGTTAATTACACAAAATTATAATAAAAAAGACATCCTTTTTCCCGCAAAAACAAGTCTCCTAAGGTAAAAGACACTGATGTATTTTTTGCATTTTGTACACAAAGAGCTCAGGAGTGAGATAGACCTCTTAAAGTTGTAACACTTTACATTAATTTATTTGGCAGATGCTTTTGTCCACAGTGACACACGAGTGAAGCTCAGCCACTGTTCTTGGAGCAACTGGTGGTAAGGGCCAAACGATGGCATCACTGTATCAGCCGTGGGATTTGAACCAGCAACCTTCTGGTCACAGTCCTAATGCTCAGAGCCACACACCATGTGAAATGAGTTTTACAAACATAACTAAAAAAAATTCATTTTTTAAACGCTTTTAAAGAGCATATTTGTATGTATTGCTGGAAATGCCAGACCTGTGCCGTGGCTGCCGATGGAGCCTTGCGGCAGGTGAGTGAGCTCGCAGTTGCAGTGTGTGAAGGGGGGGCGGGGGCGATGCTCTGCCAGTGCTCTAAGGATGTCAGAGAGGGCTGGCAGGCTGGCGTCGGTGCCCTCTTTGCCCCAATGGCCACCCCCTTGCAGTCTTTGGACAGAAGGTCAAGTACCTTGATGTAGTACTCCTCAACCACGGAGACCTCCAAGATAAGATATATGTTCCTGATATCCTTCCCAGCTCTGGAGCGATTTGCAAGAACAGTATCCTGGAAGAAATTAAGAGTGTGTAAATACACACATCAGCACGCTCTCTGATACCATCCAGAAAAAACAGAGTACAACGGCAGTTAAAAACATTTCGCAGTGATTTCACTGCTTTTCTTAATCAGGGCCGTGCTCCTATGCATTCTTGTCATATTTTCCTTTCTTTGTGCTATCAATCTTAATAAACAGAGCAGGAACACCAAACTCAATGCATGTGTCTTACACTATCAAACTGTACTTAGCTGAAGGAGAAGAGAGTTACTACCCTGGAGCAAAAAGGCCTTAATGTTTCCTCAGTAAAACAAAAGGTGTGCAAAGAGATTTGAGTTTATTACCCATTATTATAATGCAGCGAGACCGAGTCATAAACTCAGCGTGTCTGACATTGTGTAATAAAGAGCAGATATCATAAATAATACCGGGATTCCGTGGCCCCTACTCTAAAATTCTAAAACAGCATTAATGTGTTCTCATTTCCATTCACAATTTAAATAATGTGGGTAGTAATGTGTGTGTGTGCGTGTGTGTATGTAATCATGCCTGAGGGTGTTATCTATCTATCTATCTATCTATCTATCTATCTATCTATCTATCTATCTATCTATCTATCTATCGATAGTCGTGTGAAGTTCAGTTTTATATTACTTTAAGGTTAAAACCCTACGATTTATTCTTCTAACCCCACCTCATACCACAACGACAGCCAATAAAACCATAGAACATCTACTCTAACTCTCCGGTTTCCTAGCGACGGCCAATGGGAATGGAGAATTCATCTTCCTCTCTGAGGCCGGGCTTCTATCACGTGTTTGCATGGACACGTTTACGCTGCTCTTCCTGGTTATTTCTGGACGTGGAAATTCATTATATCGCTGCAGAGAAGCAGAATGACCAAACCAAAGGAAAAAAAGGAGAAAATAAGCGTTGCTACAGAGGTTCGCTGGTGGCAAAAATATGATCCCTATTCATACAGCTAGCTAAATAATAAAACTTTTCGCACGCTGTGGACCGTCTCGGTACAGAGCAATTTTGTAACGTTCAAAAAGGCGGCATAAATATTTCAATAATATTCTGTAGTTTAAAAGTTAGTAGTTGTAATCTGTTTCGCATTACCGTGTATTTGAAATGCAATTGCTTGTCTCATTTAAGCATATAGTATGGTTTGTAGTGCTGGCCTCATTCGGTATTTGATTTGTACGGAGCCCACGATTCTGAGCAATGTGAGTGATGAATGGATGTTGGATGGTTTGTCCGTTTGGTAATAACAACGTACATGCTTACCAAAAGTTGCTTTTTGATTTAGATTGACCGAATCGAGGAACGGCGATCGCTCTGCCAGCGTAACCTGGAGAGAGCGGAGAACAGGTGTTACACCGGCACCGCCGAGAGGAGCTATCGGAGCAGGACAGGTGGGTCCAGGTCAGGGATCGCAATGCCGCTTCTTCATTGGCACAAATGTCCAAAGGTAAAAATGTGTTTAACCAGTTTACCACGATTACTGGCGTTGGAGAAGTTAGTAACAAAAGCAATTAATCACAGAAAGAGGTGGAAACCTCAGGTCCAGGAAGTACAAATCCAAAAAAAGATTTTGCTTCAACCAGCCAGTTGAGCATAGTCAGTCACAGAGTACTCAGCTGGTTGGTTGAAACAAAACTTTGGTCTGTATTTGTACTCTGGACCTGAACTTTCTTGACTGTAATGGATTGCTTTTGTGAGCAACTTCCCCAGCTTTGTTAGCAGATAGCACCAGTGAATTATGTAAATGATTCCAAGATACAACACAAGTACAATTTGTTTTTCTGTAATTCATATAAAAAGAACCATAAAGACCATTTGTATTTCCCTCTGCTGTCTAATAAAATTATTTAACCGAACCATGTTGATGATGTTTGATAATGAGAATCTTTTGAACAGACAAACGCTGGAAGATGAAATGACAATAACTAAAGAGAGAATCCAAAAATATGGTAAGTGTTTCCTGTGTGGTAAAATGTGTAACCCTGTGGATTTAGAGGTGGGCCTTGGGTTGGGGTCGGCGGGTTTCCTTGTTGGAGACCCCTCTCTGTCCTTTCCATACAGACCGTGAGCTTCCTCTCTGTCCTTTCCATACAGACCGTGAGCTTCCTCTCTGTCCTTTCCATACAGACCGTGAGCTTCCTCTCTGTCCTTTCCATACAGACCGTGAGCTGGAGGTGCTGCGCTGGGAAAACCGCAGAAACATGCTTCTGGCTGTTTCGCTGATGGCCATCATAGCTCTCTGCTACTACGCCTTTATCGCCTAGCACTTCCGCCAGTCACCCTCAAGCTGGCCTTCTGTAATCAGTACTCACCACTTAGTCTGGGTGATGTCCTGATCAAGGGCATGACTTTGGGTTGAGCACTGGGGGGTTGAGGTCTCCACCCATTTTAGGGGGTCCAGGGGGTTATATTGGCTGGTTTTGATCATTAGGGGGGGTTAGAACCCCCACCCCCCCCATAATTTATGCCCATGGTCCTGATGCACCTTATTCTGTCTGAAACAATATCTGCCTTTGCTGTAGGTGTGATAGATGAGTAGTACAGGTTGTTTTTAAAACAGTTGCCGGCTTTTACCTGTAGATGGCAGGATTGCTCAGACTTTCACCATCATAGGCAAAAGTTACTTAAGTAATCTGTGAGCTGCACTCCAGAGAAATGGATAACACCCAGTGATTTCGAGTTATAATACAGTTTTCCCTGTGATTCTTTTTATGAGCATACAGATGAACAGGGTATTGATAGACTACAGCAGAACCGTATTGAAAAACTCATGGCTGCTCTGAAGTCGCATGGGTGTTAGGAATATAAAGACTTATCCTTGTAGGTTTGTCACGGTACGTTCAGTGCCATTGAGCAGAGGGACCTCAGTGGTAAAGAACAGGAAGCTTGTGTTGGAAAACTGTCATGATTAACAAGAAACCGTATGTGACACAGTGACAAGAGAACAGAAGTCAGACATAACTGTGCTAGTGTGTAGGGCTGGAATTACTGGAATTATGCTGCATGTTGTCTTTGTATAAAATTCTTTGCCCATCTGTGTTGCCAGAATCGTACTTAAAACAATGACAGTGATCCTTCCAAAAGAATAAAAAGCACATCTAAAGGGATCCGTGTTTCATTTATATGGCACCTTGATGCATATACAGCTTTGGACAAAAATTAAGAGACCAAGTTTGTCAGAATTCAGTGCTGATGCTTGTAATATGAAAAATGATTAGTCACTGACCCCCCTTCTGTTACCAGGTTTAGCACCAAACTAGGGCCAGTTTGGCTACGATTCCAAGCGTCTTGGCTATTTGTGGGTTCAGCAGGAAATATCACCACAGTGTTAGAACCACATTGGCACCTCTGGTTTCTTGCATACCAAGTCATATTTACTACATTACATACTAAGGCTTATTTCTGGGAACTTTTTGGCAGCGGTGCTGTTTTCAGGTGGTTTTTCAGTTGTTAGAGTTTTGTATTAAATACGCAATAAATATAGGACACTGGTATTAGGAGTTTGCTATAATGTACATTTTATTGGGAGGATGTAAAAAAAAAAATCCTGGGTTAGTGTATGAGCGTCATCCAAGAGACCAGAGATAAGGGTGTATGAAAATTTCTGGCTGTTTATCACTGGCTCCTGACCTCGTATTGTGTTACCCTTGGGGGGAAAAAAGAATAGGATATGGATCATTGTTTAAGTCACCACGAGGGAGCACAGTTGCTGTCATGCATGCAAATAGAACCAAATATTTGGGTCTTTTTTCCAACTTTTTTTGTGGTATTTTACTTGGAATAAGATGCCTATTGCATTCAGTTCTGGAAAGTTGCGTAAATATGCATCTGGGATGGGAGAGTGCGTGTCTGTGTCAGATTGTGAGTTACAGTCTGCAGTGAACTGCGTCCAACTGTGTGTTATGTGTCTGCAGAACAGGACAGGATTACGTGGATGAGTGTGACCAGAGGCCTAATGAGATTTATGGATGCTGACAGTGCCAGCATCTGGTATCTATGTACGATTAATGTCGGATGTTCCGGATGGTTCTTAATACTGGCGGCCATGCATGAGCATGAAGGAAGGGAACAAGATGAAGCCTAATGTGATTTCCACAGCTGATTAAACAAAAATCTTAAAATCAGTGTTTACAATATGTGCTTTGAATTCAGGATATTGATTGTGCCAATCTGAGAATAATACCTGAAATACTGCCTGTTTGAGTTTGGGGAAAAAAATATGTAGGAGTGATTTTCTTATGAAAATAGCATTTTTGCTTAGCTTTGTTTCATATTTCAGTTTCAAAATGCAAGATTTTTATTTGTCACATGCATGAATGTAGCGGCACGCCAGCAGTAAATTGAAATTGCCTAAAACTCCAGACTGCAATAAGGTAGAAGGATAACAAAATAAAAAAAAAAAACTGATAAATTAAGTATTAAAACTACAGAAATATACAGAAAGTAAAGATAAAAAGATATGAAAAAATATTGAAAGACCAGGTTGCAGTCATGGCTTATTGTAGTTTTTCATCAGTGGTATTAATGTTTCTGATGTCCTGGGGGTAGAAGGTTCTCCTCAGTCACACAGACCATAAGGCTCTGGTGGCACCTGTCTGGGTGCAGCCGCTGAGACAGTTTATGGCATGGATGGTGAGTATCTCTGATATTTAATGCCCTGGACCTACATATGCTGGATGGAGATGTTCTACAGGGCGAGCAGGTCTGCGATTTTGAATTTCCTCTGTTGCCTCAGGTGATACAGGCACTAGATCATTCTCTGCACCAGGGTGTATGTGTGGTTTGTCCACCTCAGGTTCTCAGAGATACGTACTCTGATATACCAGTAGTACCAGTAATATCACATTCAGAACAGCACCTCATGTGCACCAACAAACGTGACACTGACTTTACCTCAGAGGGCACAAATACTTAGTAGTGAAACACTCAACTTGACAGACACAGCCTAGCCTTTACACAGGATAAAACGCAGGTGGAACACAGGGCATTTGGGGCAGGACAATTCATGGTAACACAATATAAAATATCTAGAATATATAAAAGAAATTAAAAATACTAGAAAGTGACAATATCTGGAAAGCAAATCGGTAAATTGGCTTTAAAATATTTGTAATTTGAGCACAATTCAAATCCCACTCGGAAGTGTGATGTGCAAATCTTAAAACAGGCCGCACGATATCTTTCGATATCACACGTCCTGTATTTCCCTGCCCTCCGTTCGTCAAACACTCCAGTAATCCTGCAAAGATGCGGCGTATTATGTGATGATGCCAGGGTTTATAAACCGGCCGGAGGCGCGATGGGCGCACGGGCAGGGCGGGTGAGAGCCGGTGTTCGGGGATCGCTTTGCTGTTAGGAGACGATGCAGAGGTAACTGCAGACAGCACCGAGATGTTTTTACGGATTCCCCACCTCACACCAGGCTATATCAGATACCTGCAGGTGAGTTGGCAGCTGAAACGCTCACCATGTTTAGCAAGTTAACGAGTTCATAAATCATTAATGATCAGGTAAAACTTGTTTCATTTCTGTAGTCATTAATTATTTTTATGCTGGTGCAAGGCGTTTTTCTAATACATGCTCCATACCTTTAATAAACTAATACAAGTTTTTTTTCAGGGACGCCTGTGCGCTGTAACAATTGGAGACTAAAACACAAAGCCAACAACTTATTTATATTAACAATAAAATAACAATCATGAGGTGAAACTGTAGTATTTACCCTAATGATAAATATGGAATTTACATGAATATTTGCTCTTGTCTTGACTTTAGGCGACAACAAATCCGCAGATATATTCATTCAGACTCGTATCATGAATAAACCGGTTAGATATCGTTTAATCTCAGGAGACATACTCAGGCGTGCAGTCACACCGCTTCACTTTTGGACTACTGGTTAATTTCTTCTAATTATCCATGTTGTCTAGGCTGCCTAACACGCGCGCACCCCCAAAGGAAAACTACATGAACACGGCTACAAATCGAGAGCCGGGGATCGCAGACGCTAGCAAAGACGATCTCCTCTGACGGCCGTTTCTCCGCATTTCAGACTGAGGCTGCATACGCATCTCTGCGCAAAGAAGGGGGCGCCCTGCTGCCCCGCGTGGCTGCGCTGCTCGGCGTGACGGGAATCGGGGTGTCCGGCTACGGTTCCCGGCAGCTCACTCGGCACCACAAGCCGTCATCCCGCATCTTGTGAAGAACTCCGACAGAAACTGTTAGAAACAAAACCGGTCAGCTGCAAAGAAATGATGAACACCTTAAGAGAGGGTCTGTAGTTGAGAAAAGCCTTAGGGTTCAAGCTTAATTGTGTCACTGTCGCAATTCACAGTTTACAACTATGGGTGGTGTGGTTTGATTTGATGTTTCCTTCATATATTTCACTGGGTGAGTTAGCCACGCTGCAAAATGGCTTGGCCATGAATTTCAGATAACAAAGACGATGAACACTTCCTGAAAATTAATAGCAATCCTCTTAAGACATGACTGGATGTCAGAATGTAAAAAAAATCCTTAGATACCAGACGTAGCGTATTCGATGAAAGTTAATAAACTTCAAACCCCGAATTCATTCATTTCCCAGATATATATGATTTGCACTTTTTATTCTTACGCAGTGACTGTAGATTTGCACTTTATGTATAGCTAAAACATGAAATATATGCACTTTATAAAAATGAATGTTTCACTGATGATGGATTGTTTATTGTTTGTTAAATAGTTACTAGAGGCTAAAATAGGATTTAATGGTGGGTTCGGTTGTGCAGATATAAATCTATAAATGTAAGTAGAATTGACCTGTGACTTTGAAGAAGAGCAGATTATGTTCTTGGCGGGTCACCAAGGGATCCAGCGGATCCATTCGGGTGGTGTCTGTGTTTTTGGTTCAGTTTTACTGCCCCTAACTGGATAGTCAGAGACTCAGAGTTGGAAATGTTGGCCTTTCTATAGTTGGACTCTGTCTGCCCAAGAAAGTTGGCAATAAAGACTGTCTCTA